GCTTTCTCTCTTTTTGCTTCTTTATTGCAGTTGCATATGGGGCTGATGGCTTTAGGGATTTTCATGCAATAATTCCCAACTCTTTCTCTCGTAAGTATACGCTTTGCTTCTAAAACGTGGCGATGTGTGTTCGTTCCGTGTGTGGTTTTCGTGGTGTAAACATCGCGAGTGCATGCGTTTCCATCACCTCCCTCCATGCGTGGCAGAATGAGATAAATATTGACCATTCTGTCCAGTGAACAGCTGCCGTCGGGGCCACCGCTTAAGGCCCACTGTGACACTCCAGACTGCTGGCAGAGGCACTGCAGAGCACACAGCCTTCGCGGGGGCCGTGGAGCAGCAGCGAGGGCAGACGCGGCACTGGCGTTGCTGGGTCGTTACCCGCCCAGCCTGCCGGCCAGTCTCGTTTTGAATGTGCAGCTGTCCCCTTTTTCCTGAGTAGACAATGAAATGGCCAGAGTTCCCGTTGCCGTCAAACAACTCAGCATGTTTTCGAGACGATTTTTCCAGTTTTGTAGGGCAGGAGAAAGCCACACGCCTTCCCCCTGCTGCTCTGAAGTATTAATTTCAGAACCGAGACGAGTCACAGGGCCTCAGGCCATTGGTGTGCGGGGCCCGGCAGGCTGAGCCAACGCGCTTCCCACCTGGAGCCCGGGCCGCGGCCAGTCGGAGCTGCGAAGCCAAAAGCACGTTTCATTTCACCCTTCTTTTTTAGGCTTCGAGCGATGGTAGATGGTAAATATATTTGGGCCGCAGCCTTGAAGGGGCATTTTGAGGCATGGAGGCTGCTCTTTACAAACGTGTAGACAGCAGAGCATAAAAAGCGACGCAGGCCGGTTGCTCCTTGGGACTGAAGCCCACGGGGCCCACGGGGTGAGCTCTCTAGCTGTCACACGGCATCAGGGCACAGGCCACGCTCGCTAATACTATGGCAGGGGAGACGCAGCCTCCGCCCTAGAAGGTGTCAGGAACAGGCGAAGTTGGGCTTCTGATGTCCTGGTCATTGAAAACTCTGGGCTCTGAAGCACGGAGCAGTGTCAACCCTAGTAGCCCCTTTCCTCCCAAGCTGGACGGCCCAGTGCATGAGGTCATAGGGACCTTCCTCGTCCTAACCTTCCTTCCTGTCGTTCAGCTGTCAAACACCAGCTCGGTGTGTACTCCTGTGTGTACGTGTGCGTCTATGTAAATGTCTGTGTGTGTGTGTGTGTGTGTGCGCGTGTGCATGTGCTGACACGACTTCATAAAGCACTAGGGTACTAGGGCCGGGGACGAGTCGTAACTTCGAGGTGAACTGTCACATTGTTGAAATGTCAAGGAGTCAGATGCACCTCAGTCAGGGCACAGCCTAGGATGTGTTTCCACTGAACCCGGGGAAGTTGAGCTGCGCGTGCGGCGTGGGAGCAGATCCTGCGACCCTTTGCTGCGTACGGCCGGCCGCATGTGAGGAGGTTGAGGCTGGAGTGTTCGCGGGATGGAGGCTGTGATCGACGCCCCGCCTGTCTGCACACGCGGGCTCCTGAGACGTTGCTCTCTCTCTCCTCCTCCTCCTCCCCCGTGTACCCAGGTTGTCAACGTCCCCCAGGTACAATGTCCACCGGGATGGCGTCCCCGCCAATCAGCAACCCAGCTGTCCTGGGCCGCCATCCCCACCTAGTGGCTGTGGAGGGGAATGTCCTCCTCGCCCCGCACCACCGTCCCTTCTGAAGAATTGGAAACATGAGTCATGGGACCCTGTCTACCTTCTCGCCCAGATTCCCGTCCCTCGTGGCCTGAGGAAATGTAATGTGCCGGGGCCGGTTCCCCTTTCTACGCTTCCTCTTTCCCCTCTTCTTGACAGCATTCCATTTAAAGGCCTAAAACATCGAATAAGACAAAAATATTCCCAGGCATGCATCTTGGCAGAAAGAAAAACCCCTACGTTCAAAATGGCATGAGTCATGACAGATGCTTTTAGCCACCTTTAAAATGCTGAAAAGGGTTCATAACCCTCTTTTTGAGGAAGGAAACACCGACATATCGCCTCTTCATCTCAAATTTTCATTGAACTGAAATACTTCATTCAAGATATAGTTTAAGTATTTTTATTCCTTTTGATTTTTACTGGCTACTTCTCAGTGTTGCCGGAATATTTCTTCGATTTTTTTTTTTTAATTTAAAATAGTGAGCATTTCAAACTTTCGTGGCCTAAACTGATACTACAGTGGTGATTTCAGAATATCTTTTCTATGGAAATAAGGCAGCCTGACAGCCACACAATTACCTGACCAGTAAACACAGAAACACGTTCTCAACGGGGAAAGAGGAAGCATGACCGTCCGTGGGGGGGGGGCGGCCTTGCGCGTCGTCCCTCTGCGTGAGGACATTGTGATCGTTCGTGACGGCTCACCCGGCCCGCTGACTCCGAGTCGTTGGGCTTCTCCTGGCCTGCGTGCTCACGCCGACCTACGTTCAGGGGCCTGGGGTTCCTCTTAGGACTGCTGTGGCCTCTAAAATACATAACGAACACGTTTTATTTTTTCCTAATTTTAAGTAGCCCCTGGGAGGGAAAGTAGCTTCGACTCTGGGTCGAAGGTATGCACTCTCGATGTGAGTCGGGCTGACTAAATAATAAAATCAGGTCTCCGGCCGCACCACCCTGAACAAGCCCGATCCCGTCGGATCTCGGAAGCTAAGCAGGGTCGGGCCTGGTGAGTACTTGGATGGGAGACCCCCTAGGAAGACTGGGTGCTATAGGTGTAAAATATAACAAAATAAGGGAGCGTAAGCTGACAAGGTCCTTGCAATCTGTGAGGTCAACCAAGGGTTGCCTCGCCTAAAAAATAAAATAAAATAATAAATTGGGCCCCGGCCAGTGGAGGGGGTGCAGGGCCCAGAGCGGGTCCGGCGTGAGGACGCTCTCAGGTCCCAGCCAGACATGCTCCATGTTTAATCAGCGTGGGTCAGCGCCTTCCCCAGGTCCGTGTGCCTCTAAGTGGAGGCGGACGTGGAGTTGCACAATAGTTCTGAGTGAGGTCCCTCCGTTCGAGGAGAGTGAACCATTTCACGGAAACGATGCAGGTCACGGAGCCAGCCCCAGAGGCCACTGGGCCGCAGGGCGCTCTGAGCCCTGGTCTCCGGGATCCTGTGGGAAGCCCCGTCAAGACCCCCAGCTCCTGGGTTCTCAGGACTCGGGGTGAGGCCGGGATCCGGTGGGGGAGCTCCCGCACTTCTGGGGTCTCGGAGGGTGCGACGGGGGCCAAGCCCATGCCCAGCGGGCTCGTCTCACTTATGTGCCTCTCCACGGACACTGCGGGCGGCCCTCGGCGGCATGGCGGTCGGGCTGCCCACGGTACCTCCCGGCGCTGCCACCTGGTGGCCGTGGCCTGAGGCGAGCCGAGCAAGCGCTCTGTGGCTGAGCCTCTTCCGCTGTAGCGGGGGACAGTCACGGTGTCCCCCAGGACCCTG